CCACTTTTCAGCCGGTTACGGCATGGAAATTAAAACTTCACTGATTGACTGTACCGCCCGCATGGCCTCATTGATTTTAAACGAGGAATACCAGCGGATTTCATTGCGCAATCGGGATGGATTGATGCCTAAATTCATCAAATTAGACAAGATAAAAAACCCAAATGAGTAGGCTAAATTGCAATTAAATTGGGCACATTATCGATGCTCGGGAAAGGGCAAATCGAAATTTTAGATAGAAAAGCCGGAATTCCTTTGGCGTCACACCGCCTTTAAAGCAAAATTTCACTCCTCAGCGGCCTTTAAATCCTCATTCCATAGATCACACTTCGAGCACTTTTGCCGCGACAACGCGCCCACTTTCGAATTTTCGTTGCCGCCGGAAACTCGGACTACTATTTATATTTTCCGCGGCTCGAAACGCGCCAGGGGCGGCCTCACTTTGGCTTCACAACACCATAGGGAGATCGAAATATGACAATGCCTCATGGACGATTGGGCAGCCTCCCTTTATCTCTGCCGTAGTCAACAACGGGAGGGCGCCGCGCTTGGGGAATACGCTACGAATAATCTAGCCCCTCAAAACCTCGAAAATACCAAAATAATTAACTCGTTGCGCGCGCAGCTTCGTTACGGCCGTCGTTGATCAGGAAGATCATCGGCCGGACATCACCTAAAAGAAAGAAGAAAAATCAGGACGTCGAAAAAGAATCTCGAAAATGAAAACAGATTTCGAAAACTAAAATTCCCCTCAGATCAAATATTCCGCATCCACAATCTATCACAGCATTGGCAAAAGTCGAACTCGCCATAGCCAAACAGCGCCCAAAATTCTACCATTTTCCCAGACCACGCTCCCGAAAAATAGCTGGGCAATATCGGCAATCAAAAAAGCAGTTGCATTTCAAAGCGTGACCTCAGCCGAGACGGGTCCGGTTTAGGAGGAGACCTCAAAAAAGACGCCTTAGAGGGCACCAGAGTGATGACCTCCCGGAGGAGCCGCGACAAAAGCCGAAAGTGGCCCCGCCGCGGGCGGAGGAGAAGAGTTCTAACTGCGAAAGTGGCCGCCCATTTCTGTGTCTCCCATTTGGGGGCGAGCAAGTCCTGGTGAAACATACACATAAAGTGGGAAGCTAAGGCAAAGTTTGATCTGGTAGACTTTAAGAGAACGCCTGAATACGCTAATTCCTTTGCAGGGCCTGGGCCTTTAAAAGGGAGGGGCGTGAAATGCGAGATCCATAGGATTGAAAATGGGAATTTGGCATGTAGGGATTTTACGAATTTCTAAGAACAGGACAAACCCAGGTGTCACGTTCCCTTTAAAGGGTCAGGGCAACCAGCTGTGATTCGTAAAACTCTACAGCTCTAGAAACGGCAATTGAAGTTGGAAGAAGATTTTGAAGTAAAGCTGCCAGTTTTTTATAACCCAGACATCTATAGAAAACCTTGCCCTCTTGGGACGTGACGCAATCGCAACGCAGCGCAAAGTGCGTAGCGTGTCGCGGCGCGCGCACCCAGGAACTACGATAATTGTATGCCTATGCGTCTGGCTTTAAACTGCATTTTTTACCAAATTATCCCTAAAAAATAATTTTCCATAAAACGCAAGATTTTCCCCATTTTCCCGCGTGACCAGCGCCAGAATTCCGGGGATAGGACAATATCGGAATTGCCAGACGTCCCAAGAAAAAAAATTGGCACCTTCGCACGGAACGGATGGCCTCGGATCAGGTCCATCCAAAAAATCAGGAGTCCCAATTCCAGCGGTGCCCTGAGGCGGGCCTCACGATAATTCTGGGCACGAGGATTTTTGGTTTTTTAGGGGAAGACTCCCTCCAAAAGAGTTCTATAGGAAAGCGCCGGACCACTCGAATCGGTCGCGTCCATTTTTGGAGCGCCGATTTAGACACGGGGAAAAACATGGGAAAGAACAAAGATGGCGCAGCGGGGTTGCCAAGGGTTGGTGGTGATTTTTGGAGTGTTGCCAAGTATTTTAAGGTTTTTTAAAGGAAGGGGAAATTCGCTCATATGGCATTTTTCGGGTTTGGGACTGTCGATGGATTTTTCAGCGCCCGCGACACGCAACGCTTACGCAGGTCTTTCCTTGCGTAATGGTTTAAAATAGCTAACCTAAGCGGCGCGTGCGCATCGCGTGTCGCCGCATGTGCATTAATTTATAGTATAGCGAGAATTCATAGTTTTAAATAAAATCCGTTCTTTGGTTTTTGATGAGAAAACTAGGCCAAATTAGAAACGCAGAAGAACGTGGAACAGAACGAGAACTGAACAAAACCGGCAATAGCTCGAAGGGTCCGGCCAGCAGCTCCCCATAACATTATTCGAATCGTGGGCCGTTTAGTGGCTGGGTTTCGAGTGTGGGCGCGGCCAAAGGGAGCGGAGGTCGGGCCGTCCAGTCGAGATTGAATCTTTCATATGGCCGCCCGGGGTGGCGATTGGCATACCGGATGGATGGCTATGGACTTGAATGTGCGCGAAATTTAGATAAATGTTTTCGCTTGGCTTTGCTTAGGCTTTGCTTAGGCTTGCGTAGGCTTTGCCTAGACTTTGCTTAGGCTTAGCGTAGGCTCGACTTCTAAGCATAGCTAATCATAAGTACTCTAGCTTTGCTAATTTTACCTCCCCAAAAACCCAAAAAATTTGAAGACGGGTCACTACCGACGCGGAAATTTGATTCACCGCACGGTTGATTACGCGCCGGATATTAGCAGGTGCGTACGAAAAATGCCGGAAGCGTGTAACCCAATTTCCTCTAGTAAGGAGATTTTTGAGAATCGAGAAAAGTCGCCATGCAAAAGCAGGGTTGGTGTTGAAGTGTGAAATGTTACTATTTAGTGGAGGAGTTGAAAGTACATTTCTGTTGGGGCCACGTAAAACTGCTTTCCACGAAAACAACATTTTTCTGGATTTCCCAGAGGAGGTGGATTTAAATTCAAGTATTTTTAATTCATGGAAAAGGCAGTCCTGCAAGATTTGGCGAATTAAAAAAAAGTAAAATTGTTTCATTCATAAAATGTCATTTTTGTTCCGAGGATAATTAGGAGCGCACATGATTTCTTTTGGTTTTAAAGCAACTTTTTTTCTTTCAGTAGTTCGAAACATTCTGTAAATTGCATTTTAACGAAAATATCGTAGATTTTGAAAAGGTATATAGCTCATTAAATTTAAACGTAATAAGCCAGGCCCAGAAAAAAATAGGGACGTTCGGCCAGCCGACCGGGTGTGGTGGCCCTGATTCAACTTGTTATGACCCAAATTTTCGGGAGTTCCGGAAACCCGGAAAAACCACGGTTGGGCCCCCCAAAATTTGGGCTCTAAGCCGTGCGGGCCCGGTCGAAAAAGGTGTCCATTTCTGCGGAGCCTCCCTACACCCAACAAATGCAATCATTTCCGGGCAATCAGGTTATTTTGCGGGTTCTGCAGGTCCACTGGGAGGGCGGAGAAGGGCTATGAAGACGGGCTGACCGGAGTTGACCAAAAGTAGTCCGGTGTTGGCTACGCGAAAATGCTATTTACAGGTTGGGGAAATACGGGTGCGTTTTGGGCTTCAGGTATGGGATATACCTAGTCTTTAGAGAATTTGGATAGTGAATTTGAAGGAGCCGATCGAAAAACGGCGTGTGCAGAGCCGTAACAAACCCAAATTTCGGGGGGGGGGCGACCTCAAAAATTTTTCGCTAATATGACTAAAACTACAGCGCCGCAGGCAAAATTTTGAAAACAGAGGGTTTATAACACTAAAACTAGTGTTAAAAATATACAAAAACAGCGCCGCAGGCTGGATTGGCATGGCTCCAATTTTTTGGAAAAATTAAATCATAAGGGTCCCCCCTTATGAACTTTTCGGCCTTCGGCCGATTTCGGGGGGGCGGCTCGCCCCTCGCCCCTCTTACGGGCCTGGGCGTGTGGTTCAAAGTTTGGAGGTTGCTAAAAAATTTCTTTTCAATTCTCAGTGGTTAATGTAAGAGGTCCTTAACCTAGAAAATTCAGCTCCAACCTAGGTAGTAAAGACAATAATCCGTTGCGTTGTTCCGAGTAGCCCCTCGGAAATCTCATCAACTTTCAACGCCCCTCCCGCCGCGGCGACTTTTGCATTTTTTTCTTCCTAATTTCCAGTGCTTAGGCGGTCATTTTATTCGCGGAAAGGCAGAAATTCTAGCCGCCGAAAACGACTATTCCCACGCCGGGATTTCCGGCTCGGCAGCGTGTGAGGCGGCAAGCGTTTCGGCTGTCTTGTTATAGTGGAAAGATCGCCAATTTCTGATTGAGGCGAACGGCCATGTGGGTCTCATAGGGCGAGAGAGTGAGAGAGAGTGAGAGAGAGGGAGAGATAGAGAGAATGAGAGAGAGAGCGCGAGAGAGAAAGCGAGAGAGAGAGAGAGAGTGAGAGAGGGAAGACGGAAGGAGGGAGAAACAATTGAGAAGGAAAAAAATTGAAGCGTCAAATTATTTTAAGGACGATAACGACGTACTAGTCGCTTTTTGATTCCAGAACGATCCCTAAAAGCTCGAGCACGCTTTTAGGACGATGGATGCGATCGTAACATTGTAAAAAGATATTTTCGATCTAAAAATTTACCAAACGGCAGTCTAGCAGTGCTTCTTGAGGAAAGCGTGCAGCTATTTGCTAAAGTTTCTACCATAAAAATCGCCGCAGGCCCAGTTTCAACTTGTACATGACGAAGCCAACCCCTTCTATCTTACCAGCGGCCTCATCTAAAGTGGTGTTCGTCTTGTTTGTAGTTTGTAGTCTACAAAGTTTAAAATTAAAAAATCAGCCATGGTTCAGCTCAAAAAAAACTAGACTCCGCAGGCTTTTGCGGAACAAAAGTACCCAATTAGGTGGCTATTCTTCGGCGACTTCCGGTGTGGGGGTGGTGGTTCCGATGGAGGTGCCGAGACTGGATCTTCACTGCCAACTTTTAGGTTTTCAAGCTTTTCATGGGTATTATTTTTGGGTACTATAAAAATTATCTAACAAGATGTTTGAGCACCGGATGGCTCGACTGGTAAGTTCACATCAAAAAATTATTGTAAATACAATCCATATTTTAGCCTCTGGATAAAAAGAGCAGCCGGGCCTTGATATTGATTATCAGTACATTTACGTATCTACTATTTGGCGCCTACGTTTTTGATATATTAGAATCAGAAGCAGATTATGAGGTCAGGAAGTTGTTTTTCCGGTTATTCAACGATGGCTTCATCGCATTTTCAGCAAAGAGATGAATTAATTCACATCAAGTATCTAATGCATAAAAAATATAATTTTAGCGGAAAGTAAGTTTTAACTTTTAATTGCTTAAACTCAATTTCTTAAAGAGATATGGAACTTTTTGAAACGATCGTCATCAAATCGATCCCACACAAAGCGGGGCGCCAATGGAAATTTGCCGGAGCTTTTTACTTTGCGGTGGTGGTGATTACTACTGTAGGTTGGACAGATTTTTGAACACAGAACCTATCTACTTGTTTATTAGGTTACGGTCATTCAGCGCCGGAAACCACCGGAGGTCGATTGTTTTGTATGCTGTTTGCGTTGGCTGGTAGGACAAAGCCATAATTTTTTTTCCAAAACGGTGAAAGTTCGAGTCAAAAACGTGAATTTTTCAGGGATCCCACTCGGTTTGGTGATGTTCCAATCGATTGGCGAGCGTATCAACACACTAATAGCATTATCGTTGCATAAAGTAAGTCGGTGCTAATGCAGTTGGGGGGGGGGGGCAGTCAGGATTTTGACTACGAGACGCTCCAAATGCCGTTTTTTAAACGCGAAGCTTCTGGAAAAGTTAAGCTAAGCCTAAGCCTAGGCATAGCTTCGTACAAACGGAGCCTGAGCTTAGCTTGAGCCAAGCTAAGCTTAGTTCTAAGCCAACCCATAAATGACCCCATTTTGACCTCGTAAGTCAATTTGAAGTTCAAGATAAGCTTAGCTTGGGCTTAGGATTAAGCCCAAGCCTAAGCTAGGCTTAGTTAAAGCTAAGATACGCCTAGGCTTAGGTGAAAACCAAGTAGCTTGAGCGGCGCGTCTCGTAACCCCTTACTACCAATTTTGGACTGCCCCCCCCTAACTGCATTAGCACCAGTAAGGGTGTCTTTACCGCTAAAAATTAAATTTTGAAGGTTCCATTCGCTCAAACAAGAAAAATTTCCATTATTAGTCGCATAATTCATTAAATGACTGGCTAATGGAATGATTTGAGCCCTATTCATTGCTTGTCAACTAAAAAATCGGGCGCTTTTACAATTACTGCATTAGTTATTATCTATTAATACCCGTGCAGTTTTTACAGTTACCGTAATTTTAAGATATGTTTTTATGGTATAATTCGCTCAAGGCGTTTCTGCCGGCCTTTGCGGGCTGCCTTGCTTTTGCTGCCAGCTATGTAGATCCAAATTGGCTCAATTTTTAGAATATGAGTGCCGTGTGGTGCTCCAGAAAAACATGCGAAAACAAACCCTTCTAGATTCGCCTGCTCCTTCGATCTTGCGGATTCCAAATTCTCCCCGAAATCACCCCAACTCATCTCATCATAACGTCACTGTCCATTGGCACTACAATTATTGTCGTTGGCATCTATGTTTTTCATCGGATGGAACGCTGGACCCTATTCGAGGCATATTACTATTGCGTAATCACTTGTAAGTACGAAGTTGCTCTAAAAGTAGCTTATTTTATAGTATCAACCATCGGCTTCGGCGACTACGTACCACTCCAAAAAGAGGGCATTCTACAGAAGAATCCTGCTTACGTGGCGTTTACATTGTTGTTTGTACTCACTGGACTTGCCGTGTTTTCGGCTTGCGTGAATTTGCTGGTTTTACGGTAAGTAAGTAGCGGAATTCAGGGGAGCGACAACAAGAAATTATCATGGTTTTTCGCTATATTTTTTTATTAAAACTTGGTAATTACTGATGATCACTTAAAAAAACGCTTCACCTAAAAATTCGTTATTTTTAAACTCATCTAACCATTTGTAAATCAACTCAATTTTAAGCTTAAATTTTATCAACAAATTTTCTTGGAGCATAGCCTCTAACCCACCTTTTACATGTTTTGTAGATCTTAAATTTTAAGTTTTTAAATTTTTCAAAGTAAATTTTTTAAGCAGCCATTTTTATTTTTAAAATTTGTTTTGATTCTTACAGCTTCATGGCATCAAATACCGATGCCGTCTCTGCTGCGGCGAGAGAACCCCCAAAAACCGTCGTCTTCGAGCAGTTCAGTGCGTTCCCCGTCCTTTGTGCACCTAAAACCGATCTTAGCTAACTCTCGCACTGGCCTGAATCGCACCTGGGACCCACAGCGGAAGACGTCGGCTTATTCATCGACTTTTAGGGTAACATCCCAGTTTTGCAAGCCAAAAAAGCTTTTTAGTCCTCAATCGTGTCCGCCAATACGAATACACGAGATTTTTCGAGACTACGGAACTTTCCAAAATTTCGGTAAAAATTTTCGGCCGGTCAGCAACTAAAAAATTTTTAGAAAAATCACCTGCTGCAACTGCACCCCAGAAAAACCGAAAATCGATAACGACATGGCGCCAAAAATCGAATTTACCGTGAAGAGGCCACCCACGCAAAACATTGATCATTTGGTTCGATCAGCGTCAGAGAGGAATAAATAGTATACCTGCAGAATTAAAGTAAAACGCAGAGAAACGGAATACCTTCAATCGTAAATTCTTCACCGACCTCCAAGCAATCGAGATATTTCTAAATTTATAAATATCTATAAATATTAAATTTATTAATGCTGTTTCGATTTTAGTTGCTAGTAACGACTAAAAATCCGCAAAATTCGATCAATAACAGCCCATCTTTTTTGCCCTGTTGCACTCTGGAGCGCCGCGTAAACAACAACTTTCAGCTGGGGCTGGACAGGGTGAGGTAAACAAGGCATCGGGCGCTCGATTTCAGTACCTTTTTCTGAATTCTAAGCTTATTTTTGAGGTTTTCAAATAATGTCTTGCTGTGACAGCGATGGTCCAGGTTATGCTACCCCTCAGGAAGCTATGGAAAAGGTAGGGAAAAATTTTTTAAGCCAAAATATCAAAACGTTACAAAGTTTTAAGACGATCTTTGCCTTACAGGAAATTTAGTTACGACTGAACTCTTTTTAACTCCAAGCAAAATTTAATTTTTTCATAAATTACGATAAACGAATGTATTTTAGGGACCTCGTGAAATATTGATGATCGTCACCACCTCACGTCGATGCCGACAAGTATGATGCGATTTGCACGGTGGATGTGGACCCGGAGAGCCCGAATTACTGCCAAGTAAGCTAATTTTGTTTAATATTTTAATATTATTTTAGATTTAGTTTAATTTTGGTTTCTATATTAATGTAAATTTTAAATTTTTTAATTTAATAATAAGCTTAAGACTAGTTCTATGTCAGGTAATTTCAAAACTCGATATGCCGTACAAGGACGATGAAGTCCATCACACTACTTGGAACGCTTGTTCTTCTTGCAGGGGAAAACCGGGGGCAAAGAGGTAAAAAAATCTAACGTTTTAGCTTTGATTTTTACGAAACCGCTCATTAAAAGAAATATAATACATTTCAGAACTCACTTAATCCTGCCTTGCTTAACTTCTGATCGGATTTACGTGGTCAACGCCGAAGATCCGATGAATTTGAAGCTGGAAAAGGTAAGTTGCTTTTTTACGCAAAGACTTTACTAGAGCTTTTTAGCATCTCAAGGCCAAAAGTTAATCGAGAAAAAAAACAAAAACAAGTATTTTTACAGACAATCTTTGCACATCAACTTGCCGGTCTCGGCGTCTCATTCCCGCACACTCCACACTGTATTCCGGATGGGAATATAATGATTGGAACGTTGGGTGATGCTCAAGGAAATGGGCAAGGTCAGCGGAAATCGCTCAATTTGCGAACTGAACTATTTAGGCAATTTTATCTTGGTTGACGGGAAAGATTACCAACCGATTAGCCGATGGTTGAAAGGAGACGAGCAGTTGCCGTTTGGGCATGCATTTTGGTTCGAATAATCCGGTCACCGTCCCTTTCAAAGAGCCGTTCAGGTATCAACCTCGTCAAAACGTGATGATATCGACAGAATGGGGAGGGCCGAACACGGTTAAGAATGGCTTTAATCCGATGGATGTGGCTTTAGGTGATTTTAAAACTTTGAAAATTTATTTAAAGGTTATGCTAAATTTTAACTGATTTCTTATTGTATTTTATTGATTTTTATTTATAATTTTACTATTTTTTAGGTAAATACAGTCGCAGTGTCAACGTGTTCAACTGGGCGACCAGAGAAAAAGTGCAGACTATCAAGTTAGGATTGCCGGAGGGATCGATGCCGTTTGAGGTATGAAATACATAATTATTAAGCTTCCTTTTTCCTCTGTATTAGATGATAGGCAACTTAAAATATAATGTATTTTATATAATCCTGAAAACGCTTTCAAACCTCATATTTTAAGATCCGTTTCCCACACGACCCAAATCGGCTGGACGCGTTTTTCTGTACCGCCCTTGGGTCCTCAATTTATCGCATGACTCCGAAGGAAAAGGTGCATTTTTGAGGCATTTTCGAAGATATTAAACCTCTTCAGGGCTCTCTTCAATACGAAGCAACTTGCCTCATAAAAATCCCACTATTGAGCGTCTCCAATTGGGACCTCCCACTAATGCCTGCGTTTGTCACGGATTTACTTTTGAGCATGGATGATCGGTTGGTTATTAGTACTTTAGCTTCGTTCTGTACTTAATTATCAATTTGTGTTTTAGATTCCTCTATTTCACAACTTACCTCCACGGAGCCGTTCGACAGTATGATATTAGCGATCCGGAAAATCCAAAACTGACCGGACAGGTTGATCAATAATTTTGCTTTGCGAAATCATCGTAACTTTCAGATTTTCCTTGCCGGATTGGTGCAAAATGACAGTGAAGTCAAGGTGAAATCGGATGATTTTGTGAGTTCCTTCCTGTCCAGACTTTGTTGGGATAAGGAGGCCTTAGAGATACCTTAAGGGGGGCGCAGGTGACAAGGGCACGATTTCTTATTAGCGTGCGCGGGCATAGGGAAATCGGTTACGCCAGGGAATATGGATCTCTCTGCGCATCTCGTCGGGACACGCTCTCTCCCCCGGTTGACAATTTGCCAGCTGTTGACCCCCCTCCCAGAAGGGGGATCAACAGATAGTTTCGCATACCCTTTAACGCTGTGGGGCCGGCAGTAATAACGTGTAGTAATAAATCCCTATAAATACACAAAAACCCTGAAATTTCAGACACCCCCACCCCCTGTTTTCATCAAAGGCAAACGAATCATTGGCGGGCCGCACATGCTTCAACTGAGCTTGGATGGAAAACGGCTCTACGTTTCTCTATCACTTTACAAGTACCATCATCACTATTAATTCGCCATGCCTTACAAATCCAGACCCTGGGACCGTCAATTCCACCCAAAACTGCTCGAAGAAGGTGCCTGTATGGTCCAAATTGACGTGGATCATGTGAATGGTGGCATGACGTTGAATGAGAATTTTCTCGTGGATTTTGGAAAGGTATTCTTGTTTGCGACCACTACTTATCTTCGTTTAGGTGGACGGAGGCCCGTATCGAGCACACGAAATGCGCTACCCCGGAGGCGATTGTACTTCAGATGTTTGGGCTTGAATAAATCCCTTTTTAAAGTTGCTCCTAGAAAAAACTAATATTTGAAATTTACAAAAATGCTAATGTTCCGGCACTTCTTATTGTCCTGATGCTGGTAACCCCCGCAATTACCGTAGGCCGTTACCGTTTAGCGTTGTAACAATAATCTTTGAAAGCGCAACTTTTTGTAAAGTATATATATAATACACAAAAATACTCCTAAAATTCAACGAAAAACATTTATGCTTTTTGTACATCGAGGTTCAAGCTAAGAAAAGCATAGAAACGGAAAAATGTACACAAAAAAATATCATTGGTGATTCCTTCGGCTCTTATTCATCGATTCGAACAGCTTGAAGCCGCCCCACTAAAATCAGGGCATAGAGCGCAGAAGTAATAATTAAACTTGAAAAGTATTCCTTAGGTCACAAGGTTACTTTACGTTTTCTTAAATCCTCATTAAATTATTATAAATCCATACGAGCGCCGCTCCAACAACTCCTGCCACCGTCACCCATTGGCCATATTGCGCTATTGATGCGTAGTGGGCTTCGCATTTTTCGATAAACCACGCGAGCAGCTTCTGAAAAACCCAAATGCATTTGCTTCGGTTTCCCTTTTCTACCGCGATCAATGGCACCAATGTTTGCCGAAAACACGCAACACCCTGCAGGGCGTTACAACATACGGGGTGACCAGCCAACGCTCCAATGCTGAGCACATCTTCAAAAATTTTCTGAAAAAAAAAGCTTGAACCTATAGGTATTGCTGTCACGGGCAGTCAAAATGATTTATTTCGGTGTTTTTGCGTTATTGAGGGGGGCGCTATCAACCGTTTTCCTTACAGCCGTTCCTTGTTAGGATGCTATGGGATCGTTTATTATATAAACAAACCCGATTCTTCGACATTTATCTAAAATGTTTCTCTGTCCTATTTTTACCCACAAATGTGCATTAAAAAATTACAAATTAAGTTATTCGGTCAAATTTCAGTTTTTCAAATGTATTAGATGGTTTTCATTACAAAGTTATCGTATTTCCTCTACAACAATTAGTATTTTTCTCAATATTTTTTAATTTCAATATTCGCTAAATTAGTATTTCCTGCACTTTTCTCTTCCCAAAACTTTTTTCGAAGCTCCCTCCAACACAATCCCCTTCTCTGACTTGAGGCGATTTAAAAAATATAACCCTGTTTTAGATTAGAGCAAATACGGTAGCCATATTTTACTAAAAACAATATTTCTTATTTACTACACCCGGAGGCAAATTAAAAAAAACTTGCTTCCCCGACCAATCTTCTATAAAGTTCCTACCAAGTAATGATTGAGCCGGTCGGTGAGGTACTCCTCGTAAGACTGCCTTGCATTGGCAAGCTTTTCTTCGGTGTTGACCCCGTGGCTTTGCTAAATGTCGGGCGTTAATAAACCTTAAGTTAACCTTGGTAAGGTTATAAAGTCCATCATTTATAAATAATATAATGTGCAGTTATAGAGCTTAAAACCTTTACCAACTAAGGAAAGACATAGCTAAACAAGCAAACGGCCGACCTGCTCCCCGACTTTCTTGCCGTCTTCCAAAAACAAGTGCTGTAGTTTCTTTTTGACATCGGCTAGCATGCGCGCTATTTCTGAAGCTTTCATCAGGCTCAGTGTTGCCTGGAAAACGTGGGTTTGGATTTTCTTGTTCTCAGTTCTAGAAAATTGCGTTCGCTTACCCTGCTCAAGTCGAATTCCCAGAGCGCTTGAGCCATGCACGGGACCATATCCATTTTCCTATAAAAATTTTGTTATTTTAGGTTAGCAAATAACGCATAAAAGTAAACTGGAAAGAGAAAGGTTTTCTGCGGCCTTTCTGGAAAAACCTCGGGCAAAAGACGAGGCAAAAAATGAGGGCGCTAGATTTCAAGGCCTCGTAAGCGTATCGATCGACATCGGGCATAAAAGCAGCTGGCGCTCCCACGGCTGGGCCGTTCCTTTCTAGTCCAAGGCTGAACCCGCTCATGTGAAAATTTTAGAAACTAATCGCGGGCTTCCTTGTGATATGCTTTGCCAACTCTGGGGCGATCTTGTATTAGGGAAGCTTGGTGGCGACCATGGCAGTAATTTCTGGGTTTTTGGGGCTGCAATGGTACAAAAAAATACCTTCTAAAGACCTCGCTGTAAATCCATAAAAAATAGAGTCTTCTCAAGGTCTGGGATAATACTAGGGCGACTAAAAAAACCTTTTCAACATTTTCCAGTAACAATTTTAGTGGGCTGCCTTGAAGATAACGAATTCGAGCGACACCGATGATGGTAACAAAGAATAGTTTGCATAAATGTCTTGTTAACCACGAATGACGCCAGCCATTCAGTCTTCTTTTTCTTGCACCGAAACCAAATCACACCACACCGCTGTGTAACACCTCAACCGGAATCAGAAGCTTAAATGTTTTGAACTGGCTTGCTACAAGGACTTCTGGATTCTGGATTGTCCTCTTGTTTTCCAAGATTGGCAAATTCGAAAAAAGTTCAGGGTACACATCGGGCAGCAAAAATCTATATAAAAAATATCGAAACTTTACAAAGTTTTATGACTCTCTATTCCTTCCAGGAAATTCACTTACGCCTGAATTTTTTTTTTAAACTCAAAGCAAATTTCATTTTTTCACTAAATTTAGATAAACACATGTATTTTAGGGACCTCGTGAAAAATTGATGATCGTCACCACCCCTCGCATCGATGCCGACAAGTACAGGGTGGGCAAAAAAAAAAGATCCGAGTTTGGGTCAAAATATCTCGCGAACGGTAGAGAATCGAAGGTACGTTACCATGCCAGAATGCTTAAATATGCTGGGTATGAAGATTTAACACAACTTGATTTTTTCGATTTTTGGCGACGTATCAATACAAATGACACCCGAAAACTGTGCGTTCGGCAAAACTTCATTTGCATTTTTCGCAGTTTCCTGTGGTGGCTGGGTCCTAATTTTTCCTATTTAAGTTAATGTTGGTAGTAGATATGCACCTACAAAATTTAAGAATTTTTGAGGGTCTGGTTGACAAGTTATAGAGGAATGAAATTTTGTATGGGGAAATTTCGTAAATTTCGAAAATTACAAAAACCTATGGGCAAAACATCAAAATAAGTTGTTTTAGAATAACTATGGACCCTATACAACCGCATAAATACACTTAAAAAATTTTCGAGATCGATGAATTTTCGAGTTTTTCAACGACCCTCGGGTCATGGATTTTTCGAGGTCTCGGAACCGAACTTTGGAAAAATATTTCTAAATTGCCAAAGGAGACCCAGCTATTTTCTTTCTTTGGTTATGTAGAACTGGGGTTTATCTACCATCTACAAAATTTCGAGCCACCGTACCCCTTTGGAAGGGCGTCCTTTAGGGCCTCCAAAACAGTTGGTTCGTGCTTTTTTCCAAAACTCGCTAACAATTTATAAATTTTAACAGCGCCATGAAAATTGTCATTTTAATTTTATCTGATATTATTTGAATAGCGCATCCTAAAGCCTTATTTATGAATTTTTTTTAACCAGCCGTTGGCGCCAAGAAAATTCATCAAAAACCGAAATAAACCGAATTGGAGGTTGCGTAAAAAAAATTTGGAAGGTGGAGTCGTAGGGATATTTTGAGCAATAAGTCAGTGCTATCAGTTGAATAAAACTATGCAAAGCTTAAAACAATTTCGCGTCGAAAAAATTTTAAAGAAGGATTTTAAGTTTCGATTTTGGAACAGGGTGATTTTCGATTGAGCGCTGAAAGTCACCATAATTTTTAATCAGATTGCCCCCAAATGTTACGGACGTAGATAATAACATCAAAGCTATAATCGTATCCAGAAGACTTAGGTGGTTTTTTTATTTTTAAAAATTCGAAAATTGACTCGGCTACTCGGACCAAAAATCGGCTCTATGGCCTTGTTTTGCACCTGGCCTCGTAACTTTGTTATTTACCACCCAAAATCAGTAATTTTTGACAGGTTGTCTTACAAACCTCTCTAGAAGGTCCTCGAATTGAAAAATCGTCACTTTATGGAATTTTGTGATGACATGCTAAAACGCGCTCCGCGGGGGTTACTGTAGAAAACCGAAATTCGCGATTTTCGTGGTATTTTTGCCATGAAATCGTTTCGATCTTTCGGTAAAAGCAATATTAACAGTTTTTGGTGTAACTGACCAAAAAATTTACAAGATTCTGTGGGAGAATTAAAAAATCAGTTTTTAGTCTTTTTCATGAAAGTTTGTGGATAGTACGTTCTCGTATTCGGCAGCAAGGTGCCACAACCGATTGCCTAACCACCCTGAAACCTACAGCCGAATCGAAGCTAAGGGCCCCGAGAAAAGCGGGGAAAACGAAACCTACAGTACCCCGCTGGGGCACGTTTTAGCAAGCAATACAAAAATACCATAGATTGTGTTGGGTTCTGGTGTGGGATCCTAGATTATTATTTGGATAATTCATTGGCAAAAAAGCAGCCATGGGCAGTGAGTTAGAAGTGAGTTATGACTCAAAGAGTAAAAATAACGAAAAATCGCGAAAATTGTTTTGTTTTTAGAAAATGGAATAGGCCTCGAAAAATTGTAAGATTTTGTCATTATATTTCTACAAATTTATACTATTTTTAGGCCAAAAATCAGAATTTTCCCACCTCTCGTTCAAGAACGCACAATTTTCGGTCGTAACCAGCGTCAATAGTACAGTTGCGTACCCAAAAATCGAAAAAATCAAGTTGGGTTAAATCTTCATACCCAGCATATTTAAGCATTCTGGCATGGTAACGTACCTTCGATTCTCTACCGTTCGCGAGATATTTTGACCCAAACTCGGATCTTTTTTTTTTGCCCACCCTGTATGATGCGATTTGCACGGTTGATGTGGACCCGGAGAGCCCGAATTATTGCCAAGTAAGCTAATTTTGTTTAATATTTTAATATTATTTAATAAGTTTACGTTTTTTAATTTAATAATAAGCTTAATATTATTTCTTTATCAGATTATTTCAAAACTCGATATGCCTTACAAGGACGATGAAGTCCATCATACCACTTGGAACGCTTGTTCCTTCGTTGCAGGGGAAAACCATCGTAACTTTCATTTTCCTTGACGGATTGGTGCAAAATGACAGTGAAGTCGAGGTGAAATCGGATTACTATTAATTTATTAATTTATTGATTTTTATTTACTATTAATTCGCTATGCCTTACAAATCCAGACCCTGGGACCGTCAATTCCACCCAAAACTGCTCGAAGAAGGTGCCTATATGGTCCAAATTGACGTGGATCCTGTGAATGGTGGCATGACGTTGAATGAGAATTTTCTCGTGGATTTTGGAAAGGTATTCCTGTTTGCGACCACTACTTACCTTCTTTTAGGTGGAAGGAGGCCCGTATCGAGCCCATGAGATGCGCTACCCTGGCGGCGATTGCACCTCCGATGTTTGGGCCTGAATAAACAATGCATAACGCAAATTTCGAGTATCCATAACGCCAGTAATTTTAGAGTTATTCAAAAAAAATACACTTTTCCGACACTTTCGATTCATTTATTCGACGATCTTTGCATTAATTCACATCAATTTCCGGTTCTAAATCTCTCATTCTTCTAAACCTCGGAACTGCAAATACCTTGTTAAAATTACTTAAATCGCCTGCTTTCAAACCGAATTTTGCGCAATAAAAAATTACCTGGGATAAAAATGGTCGACTGTTCATTTTCTTCACACACTCCAACGCTCAATTCGGGCAAAATTTCGATTAGAGACAAAAAATAAAGTTTATTTTTGCCATAACCCGGAAACTACTGTACGGATCGGGTTCAAGTTTCTGTCAACATTTTAAATTCCCTTCCGCACCTCTGCTCAAAATTTCAAGTCAATCGGATTTGAATAGCAAAATGCCTGCGCGAGTTTTTTTACTGGGACACCCTTTAGTTTCTTTTAATAAATTGTCTTTCAATTCCAAAATTCCCATCTTCCAGGACTCTTTTCGACACGACTTCGAACTGGCCCAAAAATTAGGCGTACCAATCTCTGCCGCCTGGAGCCTTATCCGTACTTGCCGTCGAGAGCTGATTTCCGCGGGAAATTATAACCTTTCGTCGGAAAACCTCCAAAAATCGGGGTGACCATAATAAGCTCGTTTGGCCTCTCCAGGTGGCGAACGCTGAGTGGTACACGTCCGCGTCCAAACGCCTGTTTGGGCCCAGCAACCCGGGAATTACCGTAGTCGGGATTCGAATTTCATTTGGCCAACCACCGCTTCTCCACTGTTGTTTGTCCGTATTTTTAGTTGGTGAATTTTTGAGTTTTTTTTTTTTGAAGGAGCCGGTCCGAAGCGCCATGGACAATCCGTTATCCGGCATGGATTTGGGACTAGTGAGTTTTCAAAAAAAAAGAAGCATGAACTTTGTTTTTAAACGAAACCGACTGCTGTTTCAGGAGGCCCTGAAAGGGCTCAAGGTCGAGGAAATCGTCGAGATAATTAGACTCGTGATATCGATCTTGGAGGAGCATTTCCGTAGAAAAGGCGAAGCCGAAAGTGTGCAGGTCTGTAGTACGACACAAGCCCTGTAGCATGTTAAGAAATCACGTCCCTATTTAATAGCCGTTTCAGCCTGTCATGGGCAAAAGGAATTTTTTTTTAGGAAAGATAAATAGACCGGCTAGGAACCAACATTTTTAGCGAAGCCAAAGCGTTAGCTCTGCTAGCCAGCTGACGCCGGCGCGCAAGAACTTGGAAAAGTGGTTGTTGCGTCAGATGGACGTCTGCGTGGTTTGTTGCGCTTGTTTGAGTCAAACCGATGTCACCTAAAGTCTCCTCTCCTTGATGTGGTGTTGCGCGCCGGTCATGCGGCCTGCTCCAGGCTAGACGTCCACCTGCCAAAGTTAATTCGCCTGCTAGCGCCGACGGTCACGGTGATTGCTGAGATACCGTATTTCCGCAAACGTAACCCCGCCCTCTAATATGACACGCAGAACATCTTTTAAAAGTTACTTTTAAGAAGACAAAAATTCCAAAAAGTTTCTGTGGGAACTCCGTGCTGTGCTCCCGAGTGGTTGTGAGCAGTTCGAACTGTTCAAACTCGTTGTAATTGCTCAAAATCATGAAAAAGATATATCTCCCTCTAATACAACCCCCTCCCTTGAGGTGATTCAAAAAAAAATATAACCCCCGGGGTTATAGGTGGAGGAAATACGGGCTACGGTTCAGTTCCCCCCACCCCACGCCCAAACCAGCCGCTCAGCCATAAGACCTATTAATGTGACGTGTTCCTCAAAATGTTCGCTTGGTCGAAAACCGCTAGAAACATTGTTTACATGCGCCAAAAATTATTAGTAAAATCTAAAGTAAGTAACTACAGGGTGTCCCAAACCCCCCCCCTCTAGAGGCCGTCAATCGGATCGGATCGGAATGATTTTTATACCAATCAAAAGCTCTTGGAAAGGCGAGAAAACAAGCGGGTTTCGTTTTCTAAGATTTAATCTGATTCTATCGATATTTCAGGTTTTCCTAAAAAGCCGGGAATTTTTCATCAGGAATTTCGCAATTAGTATGCAGATCTCGCATAAATCAGCAGTTTTCATGGTTTTTAGACATAAAATTAGCAAATAAAAAAGCTTGATTAAGAAATTCAACCCTCCTTGTTTTCTCGCGTTTTCGAGAGCTTTCGATAGATACCTAAATCGTAAAAATCGGAATCGACTGCGGACCGCTAGGTAGGGGGGGGGGGTTTGGGACACCATGTATAAAATATCCGGAATTAAAATTGTTACGAAAATTTTGCAACAATTTTTGAACTGGCTTAACTCTAACAGAGATACGATATGCTTTTTTTGTTAATGTACTTTCTAGAGAATTCTTGCCGACTTTGTGGAGGCGTGCCAGGCGAACTTTCCCACATGGGCCACCTATGCAAAATGGGCGGCTATGGCTGGAGTGACGGGTGTGGCCCTCGTTTATGGCCCTGGTTGGGTGCGAGGGTACGTTTAGCTCGTGTCGAAGAAGCTTTCCGTTGTGCTTCCTTAGAATTGTTTTTAGCGGAATGTTTGTGCTTTCCGTGGCCCAGTGGTTCCAGCCAAACGAGCCGCCGCAACGACAGGCTCGCGGAACTACGGGCCGGCCGGGTCGTTGAAAAATAAACATTTTTCTGTTAAACTTGCTTTCTGTTGTGAAACCGGCCTCTAATGCCGTCCATTTCTTTTTTGTTTACAGGAACATTTTTGCTATACCTTCTCATGACCTACAGTTCAAGCCAAGCGCGGAAAAACCCAGGCATGTGAACCCCCGCCGCGTTTATGCTGATGCCGATCGATGCCCATGGAAGCGGGCGTTGATTCTATTCCCAGAGCCTTTTTGCCCTCCTTTCGCCCACACTTATTTTGGCATCGGTTCCGCACATTTCCGCATTCAGATTTTCTGGAGTTGTTCATTTTTTTAGGGCAATGAACATGGGCACCAGCTCCATGACCGATCTACTCCAGGGGTTTGACCTGAGCACGGTAAGCCACTGAAGTCATTTTGTTGTGACAGTCTCAACCTACAGTTAGGTCTCTAATTTTTTAGTCGTCTAGGTGATCTCAGAATTTACGATGCGATAGCTCTTTCGATAGTGCCTCAAATCCTGAACAAATCCCGGATCTCAAAAGCTGCTGAGCGACTACGGACCCACGCCTAACAAATTGCGGACTTAGAGAAACTTATTCCCGAAGTTTGTCATCGTTCAATAATTTTTGAAGGCTGAGACCTGTTCAGAATTTGAAGCTCTATCGAATGAACCATGTCACATTGCAAAATTCCAATATCACCTAAAAACGGCTCTTTGTTAGCTTAAAGCTCCTATGCCTGCGCGTTACGAAACGCGGGATATTTTCGTGAATAGCACATTTTTAGGCTGCCTTCAAGCTTCTGACAGCCGCCGAGATGCTGAAAACTATTGAGGAAATTAAGCAGCGACTTCAGGACCGCTTTTTTGCAGATGCGAAAAAAGCCGGGGAGCAGGTTGGCGGTTCGGTTTTGTAGTAATGTACACCGTTTCCAACACCGAAATGTTTTCCTCTAGCAAAGCCAAGGGGTGGACTCCGAGATGAAACTTGTGACCGCCCAGCAGGGCTTTGAGCAATATCTTCTCGACTTACTGAACTTTTACCTGGTGGGGCTGATTTTGGTTGTGCTTCAGATTAGGAATTCTTAACGCGGCAAATACATTCTGCCACATGTTATAGCCGTTGTCATTTGCGCCATGCCATTTATCCTGATTTTTTTAGGATATTTTCGAACGTGTGCTACATATCGGGGCCATGGCTGGGCACGCCGACTGTTGTGCCGTCCTCGTGGGCGTATCCAGCTTTAGAGGAATCTTGGTGCCCTTATCCGCGGTAAACGGAAAATGCACAACTAGGCTTGCGATTTTTACAGAAGCTCCTCGCGTGGTTCACCGAGAAATGCCAAGAGAATTTCGCGTCGATCGTTGAGTACGGGACGTGGGCGTTGGTTGCGGGAACGGTTGGCGCGGCGCTGGTATCGATTTTTAAGGAATTATCCATAATTTAATTAGCTTCGCCTGGTAGTAATGTTTGCATTATCTTCAGAAACCGACGTTTCATTAACGATATTTTCAAACGGATTCCTCTGTACGTCAATTTTAGTGGGGCGGCTACACACTGCTCGGGGTGATGAATAAACGGCGAAGAAATCAATAATTGGATTGTGCTTGTCTGGGTTTGTTCTGGTTTCAATACGGACATCCTCTTGTTCAACAAGCTATAAAATAAATGGTTTGCTTGGCCGATTTTCCCCGTCAAACTCAAGCGCAACCGACGACCGAAAATTCATACAAAACGCGCTAGCCTACCCTCGGAGACTTTTCTGGCAATATCAGATTCTCATTTCCGTCAAAACAATAAAACTCGCAAAACCCCGAAGAGTTTGCTTGCCCGATGTTATTCAGCCCGCATGACTTCACGACGGCATTGCGAATTTTAGGATACCTGTGCTCGCGGCGTCAATTGGTCAGAGTTGTGTCTGGGATTTAGGTCCTTATCAAGAACAAGCCAGCTCTTTCGTAAGGCAGACCTTTCAGACAAGTGCCCGTTCATTCTTATGTGCAATCGGAGCGCCTGGACGAATTTTTCCTGCGGAAAAGCCTAAAATTTAGTCTCAAATGTTAGATTGGTGGTTTTCAAGTTTGATCTTACTTTATGAATCCTTAATGTTCTTAATTAGTTCAGCAACATGGCGTTGAAATCAAGTGAAATTGGTGGCAGTGACAATGCGAGTATTTTGAGTGGTCTGCATTTCGGCAAGGTGAACGATGTTGGATAAAGTTGGCAAGCCCGCCTGACTCTTCAGATAGCCCTCAAGATTCTGGGCTCCCCGGAGATGTTGAAGCTGAAGGCGGAGCTGGGGAGACGGATTGAAGCCCGGTTTTCAAAACAGTGCAGCGAAACTAGTGACACGGTAGGGACAATGGTGCAGCTGCGCAACGAGAAGCAGATCGCATCGATCGTCGAGCTGTGCTTGGTTAGTTTTAATAAAGATCCACGGCGTAAGGCTCTTTTAGAATGCCATCCAGGCCCAATTGAAACCCAAAATCGCTCTCGGTAACAGCAAGCTGTCAAAGGAACTCGAGAGCTTATGCCTCCAAATTGTTCCACCGGTTACGGTATTCTGATACTCATCACTAGCCTGAAATTTAGAAGCTGATCGCGGGCTTCGTTGAGTTATGCTATGCCAACTCTGGGGCGATCTTGTATTATGGAACATTGGCAGCTGTCGTGGTAGCAGTAGCTGGGATTGTTGCGACCGCAGTGGTACAAAAAAATGCCTTCTAAAGAACTCGCTGTAAATCCATAAAAAAATAGGGTCTTCTCAAGGTCTGGGATAATACTAGGGCCACTAAAAAAACATTTTCAACATTTTCCAGTAACAATTTTAGTGGGCTGCCTTGAAGATAACGAATTCGAGCGACACCGATGATGGGAACAAAGAATAATCTGCATAAATATTTTGTTAACGACGATTTTTTGTTTGTTATTCGGGCTTCTTTCCCTTGCACCGAAACCAAATCACGCCACACCGCTGTGTAACACCTCAACCGGAATCAGAAGCTTAAATGTTTTGAACTGGCTTGCTACAAAGACTTCTGGATTCTGGATTGTCCTCTTGTTTTCCATGATTGGCAAATTCAAAAAAAGTTCAGGGTATACATTGAGCACCAGAAAACGAACCTAAAATTATGCAAAATCACTGTTTTTGTGTGTACACTCGCGTACTCTCAGGGATACAAAAAGGCGGTCATGGGGGTGAGAGGGTGGGGGCAGTAGTGTATGCTGACCGTTGAAGCGTCAGTGATCGGTAGCAGGTTTCGATACCCCAACATGATGGGGATCAGCTAAGAAAAGGCTTGGCGGCTTATTGACACCTTGATGGGTTGTAAGCGTCGGTGTTTTTTATCATTTTCAAGTGAGTTTTTTATCGTATTATACCTTTGTTAAAAACCCTTTACCTCAATTACAGTTTTTGTGTGTTTGGTTATGGTTTTTAGGGGAACCAGCAAGGCATAAAAATAATTTTTGACCATGGACTTCCTATGGATTTTCGATTTTTTTTTGATGTTTTGCGTGTCCTACCGCATTGCGCAAGCAATGGTATCGAGTCTTTTTTAGCCTCATGCGTTGCGTATCGCGGTTCCGACAAAATTCATGGGAAATCCGTAACAAAAACCCATAAACATGCCTTAACTTTCCCTTTACTACACGCTCCAAATCTGAGTTCAACTTTGCTTTTTGCTCCCTAGATTCTATGAGCTGTACTTATAAAGCCCTCGCTTCCACTTGAATCTATCCTCATCCTGCTCCTCCTCGTGCTCCTGCTTCTCATCCTCGCTCACTTTTTCCAAAAACATTTGCGCAACAAGCTGCCCTGCCCCGTCCAATTCGTTCCTTTCCACTCTCCGTCCGATGTCCCTTCTCGTACATTGCCACCTCTCGTCTAACAAAAGGCTGGTTTCGCGCCCCGCGCGTGCGGGGCTCATGCTCCACACGGCGCTCCCAATTATCCGGCGATCCCCCTTCGGCCCGGCCAAGCCGTCATAATTCTTGTGTGGTCCGTTTTGCCGTTGGGATTGGCCCGAATTCGGGGATTGTTGTTGATGTTGACAGGGTGTCGTTAAAAACTTTTGGCAGCTTAATTCTGGTAGTACTTCCTGATCGGGGCACTTTTTCGTTTTTCGGTCTTTCCATAGCCGAAAATTTGAGCTTTGACCAATTATCGAGTCCCGCAAAACACCAAAGCACGCTAGCAGTTTACAACCTGGGCTTGGTTCTCACCGGGTGAATGCTACGTGTTTTGGGTTGATTAAGGATGCGAGTGGGTGCAAGCAGATCTGGCTGCACATTTGGCCACAACGGGCTAGCCATAAAAGGCTCAGAAACTCGTAAAAAAACTATAGCTGTTTTTACTCCAAAAAGCAAAAAGTTGAGGTCCCGGGGAGATTTGAACTCCCGTCGCAGGATTCAGAGTCCTGAGTGCTAACCGCTACACCACGGGACCGGGTGTGATGGCTGGTTGGGAAGGGGCTGATGTGTCTTGAGACGTTGCGTCTACAACGCGCGGCGCTGGGATTGACGCGTTCCTCAAGAACAATGGAACAGGAAGAAAATCCTAACGAAAATTCTGAGATAACTTTTAGATGACTTGCGCTATATTTTAAGGTATCACACAGCGCACAAGCCTAATAAAATCCCAATGCGGCCAGATCATATTCATTTTTTTTAGTTGTTCTGATTTTTTGGTAGTCTAGCCTTTAAACTTGTCTTCGCTCCCTTAAATTCGCCCCAAATCAAATTTTGGACTCACCTAGCCACCGTGCCCTTATCTAGCAAGCCAAAGAACAAATTCCGGGCGAGGGCTCGGCCTGACTACCGTTTGCACTCGCCGTGCATTCCGCTGTAGCATTTTACGGCGCGCCAAAGAATGGTTTTGCCCTTGTTCTGATCTTGCCGTTTGCTATCTGCTACGTCGTAAACAACCTACGTAGGCGGGGCGTGGTAGATAAACGGCTACGCAACCTGATAAAACCAAAAATTGGTTGATTCGGGTTGATTCATAACTAGAGATCCGATTTGCAAGCTTGATATTTTGTACAGTGCATTGCTATTTGCTAAATTGTTGGCTACCATCTTATCGTAAAGAGCGGCCTAGGGTTACCTTAATTTCGAATTTAGATACCTTGAGTTATATTTTATCCAAAAAGCAAAAAGTTGAGGTCCCGGGGAGATTTGAACTCCCGTCGCAGGATTCAGAGTCCTGAGTGCTAACCGCTACACCACGGGACCGACGGGCTGCGGCGCCGGGGTGGTGGATATGTGCGTTGGCGGAACCGGGGCGCGCGCCAAAAAAGCGCCTGGCTAATTGACGGCAGCTTCTCCCCCTCTGTCTCTTCATGCCGACAGACCATAGGAACAGGGGGTTTCAAACCGAAATTAATGTTGTTGGAGTTTAAAGGGGACGGGTAATCGGTTTCAAGGTAAGGTAAAAAATAGGTGTATTTTAAGGAATAATTTTCATGTAGCTCCTGAATTAGGAATTTGGATCAGAACCTGAGAATATGTCTTTATTGTGGTGGTATCATAGGTCTTAAGAATTATTCAGGACTTTTTGCTTTTTTTAGGCGACAAACTGCACTGGATCCGTCTTTTTTTGTGTAGAGTCCAAAAAACGACGTCGTTTCCGTGCAATCGACAGTCCCGCGTCGACAGCAGCCCTTTTAAGTGGTGGTGCAGGGTGTGGAAGTGCTTGTGCCCTGTAAGCCGCCGCTGTCCCCCACCGGCCGCTATGGCGTGTGCTTGAAATTCATCCCCTTGGGGCGCGACAAGCACCATTCGCCGCGTTTTTGTCCATATTCAAGTAGACGTTCTAGCCGTTCAGAGATCGTTGCAACCTTTTTTAATTAAACAAGAATTAGAGGTGTTGAAAATCATTTATTAACTTTGAAGTTACATGATTTTCCTTTAAAAATCTGTGTTAAATAATTTTGAGAAATAATTAATTTATTACTCATTGTTTTTACATTTTCTGAACGTTAATTCCTTTAAAATCCGGGCGTTCCTTTCCTTTTTTTCCCTCCACTTCAGAATAGAATCCACGTAAAAGTGTGGCGGCGCTGGTAACTCAATACCTCGACCCCAAAATTTTTCAGCGGAATTAGACGTTCCCCATTTTCGACGCAGGCCCGTTTTTTGTTGCGAATCGTTGCTGAGCGCAGACAAAACATAATGAAATCCTCTGCTGCTTTCTCTGCTTTTTTGCTGGTTTTCGGTGCGTTTGAAACACCGGACCAGAAAATGTATTTTTTACAGGCTTCTAGCGACCTTCAAACCTCGTCATTTAGCCAATTTTGTACTCGGGATTTCTCTCCAAAAATGTCTTCCACTTTTGGGCTGAACTTTCCCAGAAACTCCCGTTTTCAAAAGTGCCAATTCCGGACTCGGAATCACCCTAAACATTTCTTCTATTTTTTCGCTTACCTTTCCCGGCAAGTCCCGTTCTCAAGAGTGCCAATTTGCGCTCTCCCCCCGATCCAAACTTTACCACATTTCAGAAACCCCCAAAAAATCACCCCGTATTTGTCCGAACCGCGAAAAACCTGCGCGAGCGCTTTGCTATTTGCGCTTGTTGCAATGTGTGGTTTGTTTGGTGGTTAGGGGGACGTGAATTTTTTTGGGCAACGAAGTGCAATCGGACAGTTAGGGCAAATGTTGCGCGCGCCAAAATGGTATTGTCGGTCAGTCAACTTTGCTCTATTTTACCGTGTTCTTTGGTTTTGGGAATTTTTTCGGATCTAAGCGAATACCAAAAGCATGGCGATAGATTTGACAGCGTGTAAATTTGGTATTATTTTGGTCGTCCCTGCAACACGCGACGCGCGGCGGCTTACGCGTCGCGTAACGCGGGGACGGTGGAAAATATGCAGAAACTCATCGTTAAATCCCAAATTTTCGTAGCGGTTTTTATAAGGTTTTTACGCATACGTGACCACTTTACAGAGTTCTATCAGTTTTTGGTACAGAATTGAGAATTAACGTTCGGTTTACGGTACGGTACGGTTTCGGTTATATGTTAATTTTGAAGTCTGGATTTTTTGCAATGCCAGCAAATCTACATGGGATTACAGTGGTTACGGATTACGGTCGATATTTTTGCATACAAAATTTTGTTCGACTGGCCTCGATTGCTCAAAACCGCCTCCCCGCTTTTTGCCATTTTGCGAGACAAAATATCCTGGATGCCGGGGACTTTTCCTGGGTATTCTATGAAAAGGCATTTTTCCCTTTCTGTGCTCGGAATTTCAATAGCACCCCATTTTTATGAATTTTGATTCTTCAGCTTTTACTTATTTTTTACAAGTGTCCATAACCTTCACCTGTATTTTCTTGGCTTCATCGCTCCTTGACCGAAAAAAATTAATCCCATGACTCACCCATGTGACTTTTTCTGTCGTCCTCGATCTCCAGGCGCACCTCTTGGCCCGCCGCCACCATAGTTCAGGAGCAATTTTTAGTCGTCCACAGGGCGCGCGGGGGCCCTCTCATCTTCGCGCGCCACAGAGAGTGCATACACACCGACAAATTCAAATATAGACTTTCTTTGCGGCGCTCCCGAAGAGTCGTTCCCGCCCTTTTTCACGCTTCTTCTTCGGACCCTCCCCTCTCGGTGGCCCTGTATCGTTTTTGGTGGGCCCCGTGGGCCCTTCCTGGCCTTTTGCTGCTGCTGGTGGGCCGGGGCCTCGAGTGTGTTTGTGGGCGGCAAATAACAAGCGTGTGAAAAATCCCAATTGGCGTTTACCCGGGGACACCCTCTGGCCCTCCCGCCGGGAGCAGTAGGTGCGGTGGGAACGATACTGAACTCATTGGGCTTTGTGAGCATCGAAGAGAGCGTGAGCCAGGATCGACTTGATTTACTACAGGACCCCGCCGCATAGCTTTATCA